AAAATTTGCTTCAATGTTTTGAAAATCAGCTTAGTATCGATACCCCTACTGAGAGTATTGATACTTCCATGAGTATTGATACCAAAATTCGCTACTAGAATTCGTAAAGTAAACCGATATCGATACCCCTTCTACGAGTATCAGTACCTAACTAGTAGTATCGATACTCGATGAACGAGTGTCAATACTCCTACTCTAAATCCTTTTATTTTAGGCTTGTTGATGAATAGTATCTTTACTGTTCTTCCAATACCAATACTCAAACCCATAAATACCTTATTTGGAGACGAAAGTGACTTCTCATTTCTCTCGAAAGCCCTACTGAGGTTCCCAAGTGTTAAGTCTTATGTATGTTAAGAGATCTCATAATAAGCCAATAAACAGGTTGGAAAACACCTATTACTAAAATCTACCATGAACATGCTTTTATGCTTCATAACTCATGCAAACAAAAAACACACACCTAGTGATCTACAAGTGGTAGAGAAGAATTATAAGTGTGTTACCAATCCTAAGCTGGTGAAAGTGTCCAAACCTCAACCAATTGTTACATTTTGCTTTTTCTTGCTCTTAGAGCTTTCTCCCACTTCTCTCACTAGACAAAGATGAATCACAAGAATTACTAACTAGTTTGAGAGTTTAGAAAGAGATTAAAAACATTTTACTAAGGTTTAAATCCATTAAAAATGAACATATTAAACATGGGTTTTCAACCCCCACTAAGGGCCATCATGGCCAAAACTTGATTTTGTGAGCATGAAAGGGAGCTTAGGATGGGGGGATTACAAATCTTACTTTGCTGAAACAAGTTGGTGTCGCTGGAGAATAAAACTAAAGCCTTTAGGGAAGTCACAAAAAATATGAAGAGAAATGCTTGAGAGGAGGAAAGAGATAACTTTTGGGGAATGAGGGAGGGGACATGTTACCCAATTACATCACCAAACTTAAATGGTTTTCAACCTTTAAAATCTTGAATGGGATATTCACTCACCTAGTCCTTCCTCTTTTGTCCTAAGATTAAAAATGCCACATTTATGACTATTTGGGCTTAACCCAAGCCAAATCTAATTTAAACTAGACTAAGACTTCCCAACATATATTGGGTCTACCTAAAACTGTAGCATCTTAAGTATTGGGTCAGTGACCAAATGGTAAGAACTTCTAAACTTAGTGGTTGAATTAGAATAATGTGATAATTCAATGATTTATGGAGAAATTGGGTGTTGGGTATTATAGCAATTATGGATGTGTTATAAGGGAAAAATGGTATTTTCTTGATAAAGATAATTATCTTCTATATTTAGGTGATATACACGTGGAATGGGTATTATGGAAGCTTTCTCTTCTTTCTTTTCTCCTCCTCCTTGCCGTGCACCTCTCCAGACAAGGTAAGATTATGGAAGTTGTCGTTTCCTTTAATTGTTGGTTTGGTTATGGAATTTTGGATAGTATATAAGCTTAAGGAAAGCTTATATAGCATTAAAACAACAATATGAGTGTTTTAGAGATGGATTTGTAAAATGAGTTTTTAGGTGAATTGTTATTATGGTGTAGTTTTTGAAGTTTTAATTGGATATTTGACTTGTCAATAGTCTATTTAAAAGAATAGGAGTGATAGAATTGGGTAATAACATGGTTGAATATTAGGTATGATTTGAAGCTTGAAGTGTTTAAATGAGAAATTGGGATGTTTGAGAGTTGTAAATGTGTACAAGTTAATTTGAAGGTATAAAGGTGAGTTTATAAACTCAAAGAATGTGTTTAAGGGAGTTTGTGGGTGTATTTTAGGTGATTTTCGAGTTGGAAATTATCATTATGGGCCTAGTGTATCGGTACCCTTAGGAGAGGTACCGATACCTCATGAGGTGAACAGGTATAATTGTATGAGTGTGTATCGGTACACTGAGGAGTGTATCGATACACTCAAAACATCGAATGCCATTTGTGTATCGGTACACTGAGGAGTGTATCGATACCCTCAAACATCGAATGCAATTTGTGTATCGATACACTGAGGAGTGTATCGATACCCCTTGTTATGAAATGAAAAATAGGGTTCTTACATATCAAGTTATTATGATTCGATATAATTGAGATAAGATTTATATTGATTCTAAATTATTTGTGTAGTGGTCGAATGTAATTAATTTTTCGTCAGCCTGGTATTTTCGAGTATCAATTCAAAGAGATTGGGATTATACCTTAGTGAGGCAAATGTGAGTGCAATTTCTCTTTTTGTAATGATATTGAAAAAGACTTGCGATAAGCCAACCTCAGTGTTTTCGATCGAAAACCATATATTTATTTTATGTTTTATTTAAATGTTTTATTCAATTTCCAATTGTTACAAACTATGTATTATGAAAATATGAGCTTCGAAGCAGTGGATGTGAACATACTCTATGACAGAAAAGTTATGTGAATAAGAAACACTTTGAATAAGAATTGAACCTAATTATGTGATTAAAAACCCAATGTATATGTATGAGGATTAGAGGTATAGTTGGCATGCCAAGAGTCGAGGGTCTATGTGGTCCATCGGGACATTTATATGGTCCTCTGGAGCAAATATGTGGCACTTTGGTGTAACCCTATGTGGCACTTCAGTGCAATCTATATGGTCATTTGGGACAATTATGTGGCACTTCGGTGCAAATTACGAGCTGTAGTGACAACATTAATGCACAACCTCATAGTACTCAAATACTTAGATTTCTCAGTAGTATACCTTGGGCAATTGAAACAAAGAAGTACAAAGTATAATTATTCATGAGTATACTTTTGATATGGAAGTTAATAAGCTTTTTAAAGAACGATTGAATAAAACAAATAAGATTTCTATTCATAAGTTAGCACTATTAGTATTGACTCACTAAGTAATCGACTTAGTGTGTGTATTCCTCACTCGTAAGTTTGAAGAAAGTAGAAGATTGATTTGTGAAGGATAGCATATCATCAGAAGATCAGATCAATACAAAATTAAATGTAGGTTTTTTTATTATTTTGTAAACTGTTGGCATGTATAATACGTTAAATTTGAAATGTTCTGGTCGTTTTTGTAAACTGGTATAATTTCGTATTTTGTAAACTCTTTCTTTTGGGTTATATATGTAAATTATTAAGATTTTATGTGAAACAGTTTTATATTTTGAATGCTATTATTTTCATTATCCTGATTGGAATAATAAATTTTAAAATTATGCTCTTTTTGTGAATTTCGTATGTTTGAAAAGTCAAACGTGACACTTCAGATTCGTATCTGGGTCGGGTACGAGTCAGGGGTGATACATTTAATGATATCAGAGCTATGGTTTAAGTGGTTTTATGTTCGAAATAAAGTCGTTTTTGGTTTTAAAAAGAGTACATGCCAATTTTTAATAAAGTTTTCTGATCTAATAAGGGGATCAATATGTTATCTCCACTAATACCTTTAGTAATTTGATCTTATTAGATGTCAAACTTTGAGGGCTCCCGAAGTGATAGGATGGAGGAGAGTAGTAACTTCCTTGCCCTTAGTAGACAGAGTGAGGAGCAGGCACAACCTGGAGTGCCTGTTCAAGATCAGGGAACGTTCTTCCAGACGTTGGACGCGATCCTGACACATTTTCAACTGCCTGTTTCTGCAGCCCCTAAGATGAATATCCCCAAAGAATTGAGAAGACTGGGAGCCCCAGAATTTAGGGGAGAAGAAGAAGAAAGTCCAGTGGCTGTCGATATATGGCTTCATGACTTGAAGATTATGTTAGAGAATCTCCATTGCTCTGAATTGGAGAGATTAGATGGTTTTTTTTCTTTATTAAGGGGTTAAGCCAGAATTTGGTGGTCGAATGTGATGATGAGAGCTTTAAGGGATCTGGTGAATTGGCCATTTTTTATGGAAGAGTTTAAGAACAAATACATAGGGGATCGGTTCATCTGGCAGATAAAGTAGAAATTCATGAATTTAAAGAAAGGGAATCGCACGGTATATGAGTTTGAATGTGAATTCAACAAACTGAGTCGATTTGCTGATGAATTAGTTCCTACAGAGAATGACTCTTGTGATTAGTTTATGGAGGGTTTAAGACCCAGATTGAACGAGTTGTTGTTGGCCCTTAACCTCTCCTCCTTCCAAGAGATTGTGAACCGAGCTAAAGCTTTGGAGCGAGCTCAAAATGAAAGATTTGTGAAGCAGCGAACACAATGGAATAAAAGATCTGGTGCATTTTCCAGTTCTTTGCAATCAAAGAAGAGTAGAGGTTCAAGTTCTCGACCTCAGACCAGAGAAGAATCCACAACATTCTCGAGTAGAGGATCAAATCCGGGAAGAGCAAGGCAAACTTATTCGGTGGAATCCGGAGTGGACAAGCCTAAGCATTGTCACTACTGTGGAAAGAATCATAGTGGCGTGCGTCGAAGGGTCTCAGGAGCTTATTTTAAATATGGAGAATCAAGGCATTTTATTCGAGACTGCCCAATGATGATTGGAGAGTCTGCTTAGATAGAGAGATCTATGGTTGCACCAGTAAGAGGAAGAGGTCGAGGAAGATATTAATCTGAGTGTACTGCTCAGCCTGAAGTGCGTTCTACTGCTCGGGTTTATAATTTGAAGACCAGTGAAGATTGTGATGATCCTGAAATCATTGCAGGTACTTTTCAGATAGCCAATAAATCTATTTTGGTTTTGATTAACTCAGGATCGAATCATTCTTATGTCAGTAGTAAATAAGAATTATGTCTTCTGTTAGAGCCTATTCGTAGTGAGATGATTATGACGTAGTGCTAGAGTGAGATAAGTTTGTAAAGGGTGTCCCATAAGGATTCAGGGAATTGAATTCCCTGCTAATCTAATGGAATTACCCTTTGATGAATTTGAAGTTATTCTGGGAATGGACTGGCTTTATTATTATTATGCCAACTTAGATTATCGACTGAAGTGAGTGCAGTTAACAAGTTTGGAGGGATTGTAAGTTAGTGTGTTTAGTGAAAGAATTCATCCTTTAGCTAATGTGATATCGATGATGTCAGCTCAGAAGGTGATGCAGCAAGGATGTCAAGCGTACATTGCTAATGTAATTGATACAAGAGTTGCATGGAGTAAACTTGAAGAACTTTCGACAGTCTGAGAGTTTCCAGATGTGTTTCCGGATAAATTTCCGAGGTTACCTCCAGATAGAGAGGTTGAATTTCAAATTGAAGTGATGTCAGGATCAGCACCCATTTCGATGGCTCCTTATAGGATGGCTCCGAGAGAGTTAAAAGCCCAGTTATAGGAGCTTTTGGATAAAGGGTTTATTAGACCTAGTGTGTCTCCCTGGGGTGCTCTAGTGTTATTCGTAAAGAAGAAGGGTGGTTCGATGCGCCTTTGTATAGATTATTGTCAGTTGAATAAGTTGACCACAAAGAACAAATATCCTCTTCAGAGGATAGACGATCTATTTGATCAACTCAAGTGAGCGGTCGTGTTTTCAAAGATCGATTTATGCTCTGGTATCATCAGTTGAAAATTCAAGAAAAAGATGTTCTTAAAACGGCGTTTAGGACTCGGTATGGTCATTATGAATTTGTTATAATGCCGTTTGTGTTAACAAAAGCACCTGCAGCGTTTATGGACTTGATGAATAAAGTTTTTTAACCGTATCTTGATCAGTTTGTAGTCGTTTTTATTGATGACATCTTGGTGTACTCTAAGTCGAGAGAGGAGCATGATGTCCATCTTCGTGTAGTTCTTCAAACGTTGCGGGACAAGAAGCTTTACGCGAAGTTTTCAAAGTGTGAGTTTTGGTTATCTGAAGTAGCATTCCTTAGATACGTGGTTTTGGTAGAGGGAATTAGAGTATAACCACAAAAAGTTAAAATTATTTTAGAGTGGGAGATTCTGAAGAATGTGTCAGAAATTCGAAGTTTCTTGGGTCTCGCAGGTTATTATCGAAGGTTTGTCAAAAACTTTTCGATGATATCTCTGCCTTTAACCAAATGATTAAGAAAGGATGTACATTTTGAATGGATTCCTGATTGCTAGAAAAGTTTTAAAGCATTGAAGAAAGTTTTGACTGAAGCTCCGGTGTTGGTACAACCGGAATCAAACAAGGAGTTCACAATTTTCAGTGACGCTTCCCATAATGGTTTGCGTTTTAATGCAAGATGTGATGGAAGTTGCTTATGCCTCGAGACAGCTGAAGGCTCATGAAAAGAATTATTTGACACATGATTTGGAGCTAGCAGCTGTGGTCTTTGTATTAAAAATTTGGCAGGATTATTTGTATAGTGAACATTGCTACATTTTCACTGATCACAAGAGCTTGAAGTACTTGTTGACTCAAAAGGAGTTAAATTTAAGGCAAAGAAGATGGAGGAAGTTACTGAAAGATTATGACACGATCATTGATTACTATCCCGTAAATGCTAACTTTGTGGCAGATGCTCTTAGTCAGAAGACTTTTACTACTTTGCGTAGTATGAACGCTCGATTGATGGTAAAAGAAAATGGTGCATTGATGGCTGAATTAAGGTTGAAACCAGTGTTATTGTATCGAATCCAGGAGTTACAAAAGAAATATGATAAGTGTTTATCTTGGCTTGATCGAGTAGAGAAAGGTGGACTTGAGAACTTCGAAGTTAAGGTAAACGGATTCTTATATTTCAAGAATCGTGTGTATATCCCTAATGATTGTGAATTGAAATGAGATATTTTGTATGAAGCACGTTGTAATCCCTTAACAATGCACCCAGGAGGGAACAAGATGTATCAAGATTTGAAAGAGTGTTATTGGTGGCCTGGTATGAAGAAAGATATTACAGAATTTGTAGCAAAGTGTTTAAATTGTTAACAAGTAAAAACTGAGCATCAGGTGTCTTCCGGTTTGTTGCAACCCATCTCAATTCCGCAGTGGAAATAGGAAAACATTACGATGGACTTCGTAAAGGGTTTACCTTTATCGTCGGGTAATAAGGATTTGATTTGGGTAATTATAGATCGCCTTACAAAGACTGCACATTTCATCCCTGTACGGACATACTTCTCTATGGAGAAACATGCGAAGTTGTATATCAAGGAGACTGTGAGGCTGCATGGAAGAGATCGTGAGGCTGCATGGTATTCCAATCTCGATAATTTCTGATAGAGATCCCCGATTCACTTCGAGATTCTAGAAATCTTTGCAAGGAGCTTTGGGTACCCGATTGAATTTTAGCACGATGTTTCATCCTCAGACTGATGGTCAATCAGAGCGAACAATTCAGATTTTGGAAGATATGTTGAGAGTATGTGTGATTGACTTTTCTGGATCGTAGGAAAGATTTTTGCCGCTTGTGGAATTTGCCTATAATAATAGTTATCAATCCAGTATAAAAATGGCACCATATGAATTTCTATATGGAAGAAAGTGCAGAACACCACTCAATTGGTATGAATTAAAGGATCGAAAAGTTCATGGTCCAGATTTGGTCAAAAAAGTTGAAGAAAAAGTTCAAGTGATTCAACATAATTTAAAAGTTACCTCAAACAGACAAAAGTCCTACGCTGATTTGAAAAGAAAAGAGATTGAATTTCAAGTAGGTGATAAGGTGTTTTTGAAAGTTTCACCTTGGAAGAAAGTGATTTGATTTGGACTTAAAGGAAAGCTGAATCCTAGGTTTATTGGACCTTATGAAATTTTGAAAAGAGTCGGACCTGTAGCTTATCAGTTAGTGTTACCGCTAGAGATGGAAAAGATTCATAATCTCTTTCATGTATCTATGCTTAAGCGGTATCGATCTGATCCTGAGCATATCATAACTCCATATGAAATTGAAGTTCAATCCGATTTGTCTTATGAGGAAGAACCTGTTCAGATTTTATCTTTTGAAACCAAGCAGTTGCGGAATAAGACGATTCCGTTAGTTAAGGTTCTGTGGAGAAACCATAAAGTAGAAGAAGCTACGTGGGAACGTGAGGAAGATATGAGAAAATAATATCCCCACATTTTTGTGCAATGAAAATTCGAGGACGAATTTTCTTAAGTGGGAGATTTGTAGCATCTCAAGTATTGGGTCAGTGACCAAATGGTAAGAACTTCTAAACTTAGTGGTTGAATTAGAATAATATGATAATTCAATGATTTATGGAGGAATTGGGTGTTGGGTATTATAGTAATTATGAATGTGTTATAAGGGTAAAATGGTCTTTTCTTGATAAAGATAATTATCTTCTATATTTAGGTGATATACACGTGGAATGGGTATTCTGAAAGCTTTCTCTTCTTTTTTTTCTTCTTCTCCTTGCCGTGCACCTCTCAAGACAAGGCAAGATTATGGAAGTTGTAGTTTCCATTAATTGTTGGTTTGGTTATGGAAGTTTGGATAGTATATAAGCTTAAGGAAAACTTATATATCATTAAAACAACAATATGAGTGTTTTTAGAGATGGATTTGTAAAATGAGGTTTTAGGTGAATTGTTATTATGGTGTAGTTTTTTAAGTTTAATTGGATATTTGACTTGTCAATAGTGTAATTAAAAGACTAGGAGTGATAGAATTGGGTAATAATATGGTTAAATGTTAGGTATGATTTGAAGCTTGAAGTGTTTAAATGATAAATTAGGATGTTTGAGAGTTGTAAATGTGTACAAGTTAATTTGAAGGTATAAAGGTGAGTTTATAAACTCAAAGAATGTGTTTAAGGGAGTTTGTGGGTGATTTTCGAGTTGGAAATGGTCATTCTGGGCCTAGTGTATCGGTACCCTTAGGAGAGGTACCAATATAATGAGAAATTGGGATATTTGAGAGTTGTAAATGTGAATAAGTTAATTTGAAGGTATAAAGGTGAGTTTATAAACTCAAAGAATGTATTTAAGGGAGTTTCTGGGTGGATTTTAGGTATTTTTGAGGTTGAAATGGTCATTCTGGGCCTAGTGTATCGGTACCCTTAGGAGAGGTATCGATACCTCATGAGGTGAATAGGTGTAATTGTATGAGTGTGTACACTGAGGAGTGTATCGATACACTCAAAACATCGAATGTCATTTGTGTATTGGTACACTGAGGAGTGTATCGATACCCTCAAACATCGAATGCAATTTGTGTATCGATACATTGAGGAGTGTATTGATACCCCCTATTATGAAATGAAAAATAATGTTCTTGCATATCAAGTTATTATGATTCGATATAATTGAGATGAGATTTATATTGATTCTAAATTGTTTGTGTAGTGATCGAACGTAATTGATTTTCTGTTAGCCTGGTATTTTCGAGTATCAATTCAAAAAGATTGGTATTATACCTTAGTGAGGCAAAGTTGACTGTAATTTCTCTTTTTTTAATAGAATTGAGGAAGGCTTACGATAAGCTAACCTCAGTGTTTTCGATCGAAAACCATATATTTATTTTATGTTTTATTTAAATGTTTTATTCAATTTCCAAATTGTTGAGTTAATCGATCGACGAAATTAGCCAAGAGGGGGTGAATTGGCAATTAAACATTCGGTGGAAGCTTTTGCAGAAAATTGAAAAGATTTGCACAGCGATTTAGAGTGGTTCGACTTTCTCAATCAAAGTCTACGTCCACTACCTTAGCTATCCACACTAAGGATTTTCCAACAAATTCACTAATTTGTTCTTTCTTTTGAGGCCAAAGAGATAACCTTACAACACCCTCAAGAATATACCCCAATTCTTGAGAACACTCTTTTCTCAAAGAGAAGATTACAAATTTGCAAACTTACAAGGAAAACCTCACAAGGTAAGATGTTTGCACAATTCTAGAACAAGAAAAGAACACTCAAAGATAATTACAAATGAGCACAAATGGTGTTCTTGAAAGCAAAATGAATATTGAAAGGAAAATTGGCTTGATTTGCACAAACTTGGTGTTTGATGCTTTCTCTCTTGTTTCTCTATGATTTCTTGTTGATCAAGGGCTTCAGAACTTGTTTAAATACAACTTGAATCACTTCTGAACGTTGGAGATAATTAATGAAGATAATATAGCCGTTTTAGTGTGAAAACAATTAATAAAACAGCTTGGAGCGTGGGGGGAATCGGTTCCTCATCATAGGGAATCGGTTCCCTAAGTGTAAAATTCAAATATTTCGACCGTTGAACAGGGGGGAATCGGTACCCCCTATGGGGGAATCGGTTCCCTCCGAGCATTCTGGAAATCTCGGAGCCAAACCATTCAGGGGGGAATCGGTACCCCCTTGGGGGGGAATCGGTTCCCTCTGAGCAATCTGGAATTTTTGGCTTTGAAATGGTTCGAAATACTTTGAAAGATTATTTTGAAATTGTTTTAAGATTAAAACTTAATTTTACACTTAAGTAAGGATTAAAAATGATTTTTGAAATATTTTGAGTAATGTTTTGATATTCGAATAATTATATCGTGATCATGAGATGAAGAAAACGCTCATGAAGATCTAGAACACTTGCACTATCATTTCGTTTATATCGTGAGCCTAAAACTTGTTTTTCATTTGATAAACCTTCATTATCCAAGCCTAAGGCATTGGCTATGTAATCCGGATCAAGATGGAAATATTGACCTAGGAGGTAGGAACGTACTCCCATGGTTTTGGTCTTGTCACGATTTTTGATACAAACGGCATTACAGCAGAAGATACGAACAAGTTGATGATAGACAATGGGTTCAAGTTTGAAAAGTTTATCAAATTTCCATTCGTGCAAGATAGGGAGATATTTAAAGTTAATAGCAACCATAGCTTGAAGAGATGGGATACGTTCTTCCCTAATCTTATATGAGTCAAAATATTGGTAAAACCAATAACGATAATCTTTAGGACCCGGTTGATTGAAACAAGAATTTTGGATAGTCAAGTTAGGATCAAGATTTGGAATAGGATTTTGAGGAATAGGAGGAGGATTTGGAGGTGGATTTGGTTGACGACTAGAACGACTAGATGAAGACCTAGCACGTTTAGGATTAGACATGGTGAAGGAAAACGGAATTGATTGGATAACCTGCAATTTTAAAAACAAATGTATGCAATTTAATTAATCCCAAAACTCAATTGAGTCCTCAATATTTCAAGGTTCTCTAAATCAATCCTAATGAGCAAAGTTTTTGAAAAAAACTTTTGAAAAATATGATTTTGAGAAACAATATATGTATAGTTTTCATAACAACAACATAATTTAATCAAAACACAATAATTTGAAAATTAACATTTTTTTTATTTCCAAAATTTAAAAAAAAAATTGGAAAATTCTTGTGTTTTTGATGAAATTAGTTGTAACATCTAGTTTCTAATCACTAAACAATCAATGACCGATCACTATTTCAACCTAGAACTAATTAAAACTAATCCTATGTTCAAAAACAATGAAATAGAGAGTTTAGAAAATTTACCTTGAAAGATGAAGATTGAGGGGATTTAGATGTTGTTTACACGATTTTAATGACTCCAACAGGTTTAGAAGATGATATTTGAAGCGAATTCCGATTAATATCGTTGATTTGAGGTAAGAAAGGAGATAGGGAGAGAGTTTGGTCGGCAAGGAAGAAAATGGAGGGTTTTTGCGTGTTTTGAAGGGTTCTGCCCGATTTTAACAGAACCCCAGGGGGGTATCGATTCCCCTGTGGGGGGGGGATCGGTTCCCCTTCAAAGGGGGAATCGGTTCCCTCATGGGGGGATCGATTCCCACTGCACCAAAATGCTAAAATCCGATTTTAAACACCCAAAATGCTAAATTAATTTTCTCTAGTGGTATTGGCAACTCATATATTGAAAAATAATTATGTTCAAACAATTAAATTAATCTTTAATTGATATTTGAACATAAAATTAATTTTTCATCAAGAATCATAAACTCCCCCTAACTAATAGCAATGAATGCAATAAAAAAAATTACTATTATGAGTATTTTTTCAGTATTTATTAAAAGTGTTAAAAAATATTTCTAAACACTAAGTGAAGATAGGTTGGTCAAACCTAATTCTCTCCTAAGTGTCCAAAATCTTTCCTTGTCTAAGGGTTTTGTAAAGATATCCGCTAATTGATGCAAAGTATCAACATATTCTAGAACTACATCTTCCTTAGTGACATGGTCTCTAATGAAGTGATGTCTTATTTCAATGTGCTTAGTTCTAGAGTGTTGGATGGGATTTTTAGTGAGACAAATAGCA